TGATACTTTGTTTTGAATCTAATATGGGGGATGCTACAAAGAAAGGCAAACTAGTAAAAACTGAGATCTCAAAAAGAACAAGGTGATCTTGGTTTCTGACAGGGACCACCTTTAAGGCACTGTCTGTCCTCCTCCCTCAAATAACTTATTTCAAAGAGAGAAAGCAGGTCACCTAAACCTTGATAAAGGAAAATACGATACAATAAATTTCCATTTTCATAAAATTGATTTGTTCCAGAAAATCAAAAAGGGCTTTTGGGAGAAAAATAAAATTAAGCATTTACTCTAAAATTTCCCAGAAAAGAACATTCTAAACAAAATGAGAAACAAAAGATCAGTTATTGCCCTTTAATATATTTGGAAACAGGAAAAAAAAATAACAGTTACATAAAGGATTATTCAAATACATTTAAAAAATTCCATCCATAGTATGCTACCCTTCATGCAAAAAGAAAGGGGACATAATGAAAAAAATAAAAAACAAGGGCATCTGCTCATTCCTGCAAAAGAAAAAAACTAATGAGACTGGCTACCTACGGGGGTAGATAGGAACAAGGTAAGAAAAAAATGGGGAAACAGAAATGGGGAAGTAGGGATGAGAGGGGAATAACACTTCTCAGTATACCTTTATGTATAGTTTAAAATTATGGTAACAGATCTCACACCTCAAAAACAAATAAATAATTAAAATCAACTAGAGTGTGAGGGGAACCCAAAATGGATGCGGATAGTAACAACTGAACCTAACTGTATTACAAATGAATCACATAACCACACTGAAGGGAGTGAGGAAGAAAAAACTAACCTATGCTGGAAAACGGTGTTTTAACTGTACACTACAAGGCTAATGACAGAAGAACTTTACAAAAATATTTCCTACTTAGGAAATTTGTTTTTCATAGCGTCATGGGTTAGCAATCCTGTAACTACTTTATGTATATACTGTTGTTGTTTGCTGTCGAATAGATTCCAACGCATAAACTCAAACCAAACCCATTGCCGTGGGGCTGACTCAGACTCATACAGACCCTATAGGACAGAGCAGAACTGCCCCGTAAGGCTTCCAAGGCTGCAATCTTTACGGAAGCAAACTGCTACATCTTTCTCCCATGGAGAAGCTGGTGGGTTCAAACCACCAACCTTTCAGTTAGCAGCTGAGAACATTATCCAATGCGCTACCAGGGCTCCTTTTCCAACTCGTAGTGACCCTATATGACAGAGTAGAACTGTCCCATAGGGTTTCCTAGGTTGTACGGGAGTATATCGCCAGGTCTTTTCTCCCACAAGAGCGACTGGTGGGTTTGAATTGATAATCTCTCGATTAGCGGCTAAGTGCTTAACCACTGTGCCACCAGGGCTCCTTATGTATTTACTAAACCCATTGCCATCAAGTGGATTCCAACTCATCGCAACCCTGCAGGATAGAGTAGAACTGCCCCATAGGGTTTCCAAGGTTGTAATCTTTATCGACGCAAACTGTCACATCCGGTGGGTTCAAACCACTGACCTTTCCGTTAGCAGCTGAACATTTAACCACTGCACCATCAGGGCTCCTTATGTATATACTAGGATTGAGCAAATAAAAGGATAATTGTGGATAATGAGAGCCATGTTTTTCGCTGTCAGAGAAAGGAGTTTCAAATGAGCAAAGAAAGAAGTCTAGAATAAATCTGTGGTGTTGGACTGGAATTGGAAATGTCAGTATGAATTTATAGTTTTTAACATATATAGATTGATATAAAATATATGAATATAAAAATATGATATAGATGTTTAAGTTACATTTATTTCCCAGCTGGCAACTAAGAGGGTCTAGAAACAATGACATCCCATAGCATGAGCACACCTAACATCCAGATGTCGACTTATAAATACTGTTCTCCAATAAAAGGAATCAGGGCTCCTTGCATAAACGGTTGATTTCAGGGTTAGGGTAGGGAAGTTACAAGTTGATCCTGGAACATCTTTGGTGCCAGAAAGTAAGGAAGTGCTTAAAAACAATAACGGCAGGTTGAAAGGACAAAAGAACCAACATGAAGGAGCTTCCAATAGCCAAATCTAGGACAATCTGAGCAACACAATAAAAAGAGTAATAATGACTAATAATCTACAGAATAAAATAAATATCCATGGGTTCACAGTGATATAAATAACTGGATAAATAAGCAGGGGAGGAGGGATAGATTTTCCTTACAGTAGAATTCCAATTAGTAAATGTAGAAGGAATGATGGAAATAGAAAAATTACCATTTGGCAAATACCACAGTAATAAATATTGCATGCAAAAATCACTAATGGGTACTAAAATCAGTGTGCGAAGGTATAATGTAAAACAGGATATTTGCACAGTCTCCTAGTATCTCCCAACCAGACACTTACTAATTACAAAGGGAAAGATAGTAACTTTATAGTAACCTGGCAGAACCCCTGCTTAACCAACTGATCCAAGTTAACATCAGTTAACTAAATTAACAATAAGAGGTCAACATCATGTACCAGCTGATAATGATTAACTGAGAAAGGCACAATACATTGTATTTTTCAAAACCTGCATAATCTCAATCTAATCATGGGGAAACATCACACAAACACACATTGAGGGACATGCTAGAAAATAATTGGCCAGTAGTCTTCAAATGTGTCAGGGTCATGAAAACCAAAGACTGAGGAGCTGTTATAGATTGGAGGGGACTAAGGAGACATGCCAAGTAAACACAATGTTGGATCCTGGACCAGAAAAAGGAAATTAATTTGACAATTAGTGAAATTCAAATAAGATCTGCAGATTTGTTAACAGTACTATATCAACATTAATTCCTGATTTTGACAGGCAAAATGTTAACATTAGGGGAAGCTGGGTGAAGGGGATAAGGGAACTCTCTGTACTAGTTTTGCAACTTTTCTGTAAGTCTAAAATTATTTCAAAACAAAAAGTTAAAAAAAAAAAAGCGACTCCCATCAAAAATATTAACTTAGTTTGTCTCAATTCAAAGTCGCCTCCTTCTACAGTGGTTGTTTTGTGGTAGTGTCTATAATTGGGAAAAAGTTTTTCCTTTTAATTTTAATTGACAAAAACATCCGGTTTAAAAATACATATTGTAAACTATTTAATTTGGGGGTCACTATATCATAGGAAAAAACTCCTACTTTTGCATACATCTGAGAACTTGCATAATAAACATTTAAAATACTTGTAGAAAAAAATTAAAAAGTTGTAGGCAAACTGCTTAAGTGCTTATTAATATACTAAAGATAATTTTCTATCATCCTTATAACTTTCATAAACACTTAGAATTATATTATGGAATTTTTAAGGCTAGTAATAACTCAGAAATCAAGAGGTCCAACCCTGCCTCACTGGATAGGAAGGAAACTAAAACCCAGAGAACCCAACTAGTTGCTGTTGAGTTGATTCTGACTTACGGCAACCTATGTGTTGCAGAATAGAACTGTGCTCTACAAGATTTTCGTGGCTGTGACCTTTCAGAAACTGAATGCCAGGTGCCTCTGGGTGGGTTCGAACCCCCAACCTTTTGGCTAGCAGCCAAGCACTTCACCACTGGTGCCACCCAGTGAATCCCAGAGAGGGGAGGTCTAATTAGTTAGCAGAGACCAGAGGTGAGCCTAGAACCCCTACCTCCTGACTCTTGTTCTGGAGCTACTTCTCCCACATTAGATATCTGAGCTCTTCTTTATCCCAAAGCTTATCATGAACAATTACCTAAACATCTCAACTGCAACAGTATAGTAACAGTATTTATAGATACTTCCAAAAAAATTACCAACTAAATTAGAATAAATTTGCTGCATTCATGAAAAATGAAATATGGGTCCAGTAATACATATAACATTAAAAATAAACTATTGTAGTTTACTGTTTTAAATGATCTCTTTATTTTAATTAGGTCTTTTATCTAAAAGTTCATGTTCCCATCCTTGTTTAGTGATTCGACTTTTTTCTTAATGGAAGCTTTTCTTGCAACTCTCATTCTAGAAGGACTTCCGCTGAGTAATGGCACCTCCCAAACATTTACCCATGCAGAAAGCCTCTACTGAATGCCAGATGTTGTCAGGCACTGCACATGATGCTGGGCACATAATGGTGAGGAAAGATTCTGTTCCTCAAGCTCTCACTCTATACTGGGGAAAACGGGCAAACACTGATTACAATATAAACTGACAATGGTGTACACAGTGGTATATGCAAAGTACTCTGGGAGGGCGTACCAGTCTTCAGAGGTGTCCTTTCTCCCACTTAGCAAATGAAGAAATGGAATAGCTTCAGGTCATGCAGTAAATGGCAAAGCAGGACTTGAACCTAGGCCTCCTGATGTAGAACAGAATGAACACTATTATCTAATTTTCATCGAACTCATGTGATAAAATTTTTATCTTGATGACAGTAGCGAGATGGGCTGGAGAGTCTTAAAAGTGATTACAGTCTACTGCTCTGTTTAGTAATTCTGTAACCTAAGACAATTTATATAACGTCTCTGGACCTTCCCACCTGGAGATATAAACCTTACTTCATAAGGCTATTGTGAAAAAGAAATTAATAAATATGTAAAGTGATTAATACAGTTGTTGGCACAACATAGGAGTCAACAGACTGAGAATTCTCCAGGTGTGGGATTATCTTCTACTTACCTGTGAGTTTATAGAGCCTGGTACAGTGCCTGGCACATACCTGTTAATATTACTAAATGAAGTCATTATTAAATAAATGTCTAATCTAAAACTATTCTTGAGATATACTCAATATGCTTATTTCTATAAATATATATGTATTTTTAAAATCTGTATTTCATCCACATAAATGGAACCCAACTTTTAAGGACTATTCTCTCTCACAGCAGTACTCACTTTCTACTGTTGCTCCTTCATTTGGGTTTGAGTATCCCTCTCCTTTCTGTTTGATTCTCCGGATAATGCCTCCATCTTCAAATAAATCCTCTCCTTTGAAATCAAGGAGCTCAATCTAGAAAGGAATGAGGATTTGACTGAGAAAAGACCAAACAAAGCCAATTTAATATAGGTAAAAGCAAGAGCAACCCCATTCTCCTTTCATTTTACAAAATAAAAAAACTATTAAAAAATATTTATCTATGCATCTTAGTTATTGGAAAGGTAGGGAAAAAAGAACACTGCACTTTTCAATACCTGGAAAGAGCCTTTGTATAATGATAATGTCTAGGACTACATCCTGTGGGGCTGCAGTGCAAAGATAGACAGGAAATACTAGGAAAACTGCTTTGTGGGCAAAAAGCCAGAGCTACGAGGTGCTGGCACAGAACTATTTTGTCTGACTCTGAGGCCACCACTTTTCCATCCCAGACTCTTGGAGTTCTCTTCTTAAAATGTAAGAATAAATCCTATAAATCAGACCTACTAAAGGTTTATTTTATCTAGTTAGAGTGGTCTAAACATTTTCTCCCTTATTTTTTAAATCAGGTTTTGCCAAATACGTGTAATTCAACACAGGATGAATAACATATTATCACCATCTACCACTTCTAATGAAGAAGTAAGATCTGTGACATTTATAAACCTTTATAATATGAAAACACCATACAAGTTGGTTTGGGCATATTTCAGTATTATCTCCAACCTTTCTATCCTGTCTTCTGGTCAATTCTGAGCATGTCATACTCACACCACTGACTAGAAACTTTATTTCTAAGTTTGGTGTCATTTGTTTATTTGGATATGATCTTTTTATGCCAGAGACACGTTTCTAAGAAAGCACTGGCAGACACATTTTGGATTTGTGGGAAATAATTCAAGAACCCAAACTCCAAAATAAATAAATTGGATCTGATTCTTAAGAGCAAGCTTAGTTCCTTGCTTCACTGACTGCTGCTTTAAAGCCAGCACTATAGAAGGGCAGATGCTCACAAGGCAGCATCATAGCACATACTTACCTCAAAAAAGAGTGTTGCATTCGAGGGAATTTTGGGGACACTGCCAGCTGAGCCATATGCATATTCTGGTTTACACAGTAAGTGGCAGATCTCTCCTTTCTTCATGGTAGCCACTCCAATGTCCCATGCCTTGATAACTTGGCCTAAAAGAAAGGAAAAGGTAGTTGAAAGCTATAAACCATATTTTTAAAAGATTTAACTTTCATAAAACAAAAATTCAAACAAATTTCTGATTTCTCATACTATATACTCAACTAGAAAATATGGGCTACAAAATGACAGAATCCAGTAAAAGCTACACACTGAGAAATAAATTATGATTTTTTTTTTGAGGGGCATCAGAGAAGATTCTCTGCTGAGGAAGATGAAAGTAGTATCAATTTCCAACAAAACATACTTAAATCACTTTCTCAAAGATCAACCATCTTTGAAAAGTGGCAGTATCACAATCCATCCAATGTGGCTAGGTTGTAGTTGTTGCTTAATTCATAATTTCAATCATAATAATAAGTGCATATTTTCTAGGCAGAGACAGAATAAAAGCAGTACAGAAAATGAAATTTGTCATAAGGAAGTTCATAATTTAGTTGGGTAGACAAAACCAACAAACAAGAAACAATCAGAAAAATATAAATTGCATTAAAGGGTCATGAAACAAATTTCTTGACAAAATTTAGTATCGAAAAAAACATTTTTTTCTAAACAAAATGGTATGTATCCTTTTGTCAAATCACAAGAACTTCAGAGCTCAGAATATTTTATCTTTTGCCCTACTTCCAGGAAACTAAAAGTTAAATTTACTGCTCAATTACAGAACTATATTAGCCTATATAATTGCAGTTCCTCTTATATGTATCCTTAACTATACCTTATCGTAAGCAGCCTTAAATCTTTTGGGAAAAATAATAGAAAATCTAGGCAATTTAAAGGGATAAAGTACAAACTTGAAATGCTGTGTCAGTCAAAAGCTTAAGTATTCAAAGTGGGATCAAGTAAACAAGGAACGCCAGAGGATGTGAGTTTTTTGAAGAGAGCTGTTGTCTTGGGTTGGGAGAGAATCTGTACAAGAACACTGGATTTGGGGAACCCTGCATAAAGGGATGTAGGTAGGGGTGGATAAGTCATTTGCAGCCAATGACTTCAGCTTAGTCTTTATTATGTATTACAACTTTTCAAAATACCAGCTATACTTATCTTAGTTAAAAATTTATATAAGTAATACATGCCTATTATTTAAAAACACACATGAGAGAAAGATATAAAGTGAAAGATAAAAGGTCATCCAGCCACTCCTTATAAGACAAAACCACTGCTATGCTCTTTTATATCCTTCCAGTGTGAGCTGTCACTTAAAAATAAAAAATCTAAACACAAATGATAGCATATTATACATTCTGTTCTGAACTGAGTTTTCATTTAATACATATCTTGACCATCTTTATCAGTAAAAAGAAGGATGTACTGCTTAGTGGTTAAAAGTACAGCCTGCTCAAACCTCAGACTGCCTGGATTTGACTCCTTGGTCTGCCCCTGTGTGAACTGGGGCAAGTTATTTAATCCCTGTGCTTCAGTCTCCTCACCTACAAAACAGAGATAATAACAGAACCTGCCATAGAGAGTTGTAAGAATTATGTGATACGATATGTCAAATGCATGGCACAGTGCCTGGCATCATAATATGTATTTAACAAACCTCAGCCGCCATCATCATCATCATCGTGGTTGTCATTGTCAATACAATAGATCTACTTCATTCTTAATGGCTACATAATATTCCAATCAATTTCCTATTGAGAAACATTACCAGCAGTGCTCTAACGAGGTTGCTTATTCATATATGTTTGCCTACTTGTGTGAATGTATTTGGAGCCCTGGTGGCGCAGTGGTTAAGAGTTGGGCTGCAAACTGAAAGGTTGGCAGTTCAAATCCACCAGCCGCTCCTTGGAAACCCTATGGGTCAATTCTACTCTGTCCGTAGGGACACTATGAGTTAGAATCCACTCAACGGCACTGAGTTTGGTTTGGTTTGGATGGGTGAGTACATTTGGAGAGTAAATTTCTCGAAATACAAAGATGATATGCATTTTAAATTTGACAAATACTACCCACTGCCCTTCCAAAATGGCTATAAGAATTTATATTCCCACCACACATGATTATACTGTGAAAACATTCCAGAATCATCAGAAGAAATTCAAAGTCTGCTATTGACAGGCTTCTCTTAAAGGACTATGCTGTGTTTTAATGTGGGCCATTCAGTATATGTGTGTGTGTGTGTGTGTGTGTGCGTGTGTGCGTGTGTGCGCGTGTGCGCGTGTGTGCGTGTGTGTGTGTGTAATATTTACTATCAACTCTGATATCTTAAGGCAAATACCTTACATACCTCTTCAAAACTTTTTTTATATTGTGGGGGTACTAGTGTACATTTGTTCAAGACATTTAGCCAATTACTGAGGAGCAAGGCCTTGTGCTAGGTACTAAGACTACAAAGGTAACCATTTCCTTCTTTCTTCCAAGGAACATGCAATGTAGTATGGCTGTTGTTGCTGGGTGTCTTCGAGTCAATTCCAATTCATAGTGACCCCATGTGACAGAACAGAATTGCGCCACAGGGTTTTCTTGGCTGTAATCTTTGCAGGAGCCGATCATCAGGTCTTTCACCTGCAAGCACTAAAATAGAGTATAAACAAGGGGCACAGAAGAGGGAGTGAATAATTCTGCCTTGGGGTGGGGATGGGGGCAGTCAGCAAAATTCATAGCAGGTATCTATGCTAAGCCTTAGAAGTTAGAAACATCAGCCTGTCAATTAAATCCACAGGAGCCTCAGGCTAAATAAATCATGCCTGTGCCTTTGCTTTTCTTGTCAATTGGGAACATTGAAGGTTCTTTTACACAGAGCTTCAGATACTGAATGAAACACACTGAGCAAAAAGCTCGACTGATATGAACACAGATACATTTCCAAAACTGCCAACCTTGAGACTCCCTTAAAAAGCACTTCCCTTAATTCTAAAAAGTAATACATATTATATTATAGAACACCTAGAAATATAGAGAAGCATACAGGATACAATTAAAAACCTCCAAAATTCTAGCATCTGGGCACTATTACCTATTTTTTGATTCATTTCCTTCCAATTATATATGTATACATTATTTGCTTGCATATTAAATGTTTACATACACAAATCTTAAAAATGGGATCATACTTTATTGGTTTTGGAGCCTGCTCTTTATATTTCACATTATATGAGAATTTTTCTTGTTGATAAATAATATCTGAAAGCACAGTTTTTAATACTATTCCAGCTTATGAATACACCGTAATTTCATCCCTCCCCATTAACAAACATTTAGGTGGTTTAATTCTTTCCTTTTTTTTACTATTATAAAGTTTCACCTAAATCTTTACATGAATTTCTTTGACTATAAAAGCTTCTTACCTGACACAGTCAGAACTATGGTTGGTAGGTTAATCAAAAATGCTACTTTAAGGGAGGAGTCACAAAATATACCTCAAACTTTTTTAACCTCATACACATAAAAGTAGTATATTAATTCACTAGCCTTGTGTTAGAAGGCAAAGGCCTTGTCTTTAAGTGTGGCTCCAGTGATAAGAGTTCCGTATCATCTTTACTACTTAAATCACATTCATGATATATTATTTGCAATTTACAATGTACGTTTCTTTTAAATGGAGCCAGAACCTGAAGACACTTGTAAAGCAATCAATATACAGAAGTCTTCTGGCAAAAACGTGTTCTTAATGGCCTAGCTATTTCACCTATCTTCTGTTGTTGTGGTGTGCCCGTGGAGTGGATGCCGAGTCACAAGGACCCTATCTTTCACCTACCTGTCATGGATTGAATTATGTCTCCCAAAAAAATGTGTGCATCAATTTGGCTGGGCCTTGATTCCCAGTACTGTGTGTTTGTCCTCCATTTTGTGATTGTAATTTTATGTTAAAGAGGATTAGGGTGGGATTGCAACACCCTTACTAAGGTCACATCCCTGATCCAACATAAAGGGAGCTTCCCTGGGGTGTGGCCTGCACGCCTTTTATCTTACAAGTGATAAAAGGAAAAGGGAAGCAAGCAGAGAGTGGGGGACCTCATACCGCCATGAAAGAAGTGCCAGGAGCAGAGCGCATCCTTTGGACCCAGGGTCCCAGTGCGGAGAAGTTCCTAATTCGCGGGAAGATTGATGAGAAGACTGACAGAGAAAGAAAGCCTTCCCCTGGAGCCAGCGCCCTGAACTTGGACTTCTAGCCTACTGGACTGTGAGAGAATAAACTTCTCTTCTTTAAAGCCATCAACTTCTGTTATTTCTGTTATAGCAGCACTAGATGGCTAAGACACTACCCCGAATTCAACAGCCATTTTAAAAATGCTTTCAGTAATTCACCTTACTAGGTCTTTTCAAAGCACTCAACCTAGTTTTCATAGAAGTAACTCCTCTTTCTTTTTACACTCATTTCAGTCTTTTATCTAATATCTAACCTAATATCTAATGAAATCATATAATTACAAAAAATACAACAGACATAAAAAGGTTTCAACCGACTCTTAGTAAGAATCTGAGAAAGAAAAAAAAGCAGCCCTGGCATCTGGAAACTGGCTGGACACTTACAGAGAGGCCTCAGTGTTGTTTGCAGCTGGCCTAGGGCTCAAAGCTAGACCATGTTATCCTCCTGTTGGACATAAACAATCTCACAAAACATCAACATCAGACAAGGTCACTCTGAGACCATGTAAAAGTGAAACAAAACAAGACTACTTCAAAATACTGTCTAAGCATAGACAAAAACAAGGTCACTGTGCTACCTACAAAATACCAAACACCTCCCTCTCCTGGCTAATGTGAGTGACTGCTGCTTCTCTAGCAGTTATACTCGAGTATCGCTCTAGTCTGCCCTCCTCTTAGAGAAGATGTAAGATACCCAAGCATAGAATCACTCCACATCCTGACAGCATCAATCCTGAGCAAGACCCCACGTCTTGAACTCTCCTCAAACACCTAACACAAGCCTAAACCCTATAATAACTCCTTTCTAACATTCTCTTCCTGAGATACCCAATGGTTCCTGAAAATGCACATTCTCCCTAGCTTCAATAAGTTATAAACCCAACTTGTTTAACTATAG